CCTCCCGAGTAGCCAGGACTACAGACACATGCCACCATGCCCGGCTAATTTTTGTATTTTTAGTAGAGATAGGGTTTCACTATGTTGGCCAGGCTGGTCTTGAACTCCTGACCTCGAGATCCGCCCGCCTCAGCCTCCCAAAGTGCTGGGATTACAGGCGTGAGCCACCCCGCCTGGCCAAAAAAAACTTTATATCAAAAACTTGATAGTTTCGATGAGACAAATTCCTTCAAGGCCACAAACCACCAAAGCTTGCTCAAGAAGAAAACCGTTATCTGAATATACCTATAATTATAAAAAAAAAAAAACGAATTTATAGCCGGGCGTGGTAGCTCATGCCTCTAATCCCAGCACTTTGAGAGGCTGAGGCTGGTAGATCACCTGACGTCAGGAGTCTGAGACCACCCTGGCCAACATGGTGAAACCCTGTCTCTACTAAAAACACAAAACTTAGCTGGGCATAGTGGTGTTTGCCTGTAATCCCACTTACTCAGGAGGTTGAAGCAGGAGAATTGCTTAAACCCAGGAGGCGGAGGTTGTGGTGAGCCAAGATCGTGCCATTGTACTCCAGCTTGGGCAACAAGAGTGAAACTCCGTCTAAAAAAAAAAAAAAAATTGTAGTTCAAAATTTCCCCTCAAAGAAAATGCTAGGCCCAGATGTCTTCACTGATGAACTCTACAAAACATTTAAGAAATAATGCTAGTCCTATATAAATTTCAGAAAACAGAAGAGGAGGAAACACTTCCCAACTCATTTTATGAGGCCAGCATAACCCTGACGTCAAAACCAGACACAAACAGTGTAAGTGAAGAAAACTACAAACAATTATGACACATAAACATAGATGCAAAATAATAAAGTATGAGCAAAAATAAATAGAAGCATATCAAATGAATGATCATTTGATCATTATCACTTGATCATTATCAAGTGATATGATCATTATCAAGTGATATGATCATTATCAAGTGATATGATCATTATCAAGTGGGGTTTACACAGGTAATGGAAAGGCTGGTTCAATATCTGCAAATTGGCTAGGCATGGTGGCTCACACCTGTAATCCCAGCACTTTGTGAGACAGAGGCAGGTGGATCACCTGAGGTCAGGGGAGTTTGAGACCAGCCTGACCAACATGGAGAAACCCCGTCTCTACTAAAAAAAAATGCGCGGCACACACACACACACACACACACACACACACAAATTAGCCGTGCATGGTGGCAGGTGCCTATAATCCCAGCTACTCGGGATGCTGAGGTGGGAGAAACACTTGAACTTGGGAGGCGGAGCTTGCAGTGAGCTGAGATCGTGCCACTGCACTCCAGCCTGGGCAACAGAGCGAGATTCCGTCTCAAAAAAAAAAAAAAAAAAGAAAAGAAAAAGAAAAATCTGCAAATTAACTAGGCATGGTAGCTCACACCTGTAATCCCAGAACTTTGGGAGGCTGAGACGGAGGATCACTTGAGGCCAGAAGTTCAAGACCAGCCTGGGCAATACAACAAGACCTCATCTTTACAAAAAATTTTAAAAATAGCTGGGCATGGTGGTACATGCCTGTAGTCCCAGCTACCCTGGAGGCTAAGGCAGGAGGATCACTTGAGCACAGGAGTTTGAGGCCACAATGAACTATGACCACACCACTGCACTCCAGCCTGGGGAACAGAATGAGACTCCATCTCTAAATATAATAATAATTACTTAATTAATTTAAAAATAAAGGAGAAGAAGCATGATTATATTGATTGATGCAGAAAAAGCATTCACGACATTCAGCATCAATTCATGATAAAAACTCAAAAAACTAAGATTAAAAGGAATAATCCTCAACCATTGTCAGGCCACCAATGGAAAACTCTACAAATAAAAAATTATACTTAATAATGAGAAAGTGAGTACTTTTGCCCTAAAATCAGGAATAAAGCAAAGAAGTCATTCTCACTATGCCTATTCAACACAATACTCAAGATCCTAGCCAGTAAAAAATGGCAAAAAGAGGCCGGGCACGGTGGCTCATGCCTATAATCCCAGCACTTTGGGAGACCGAGGCAGGTGGATCACCTGAGGTCGGGAGTTCGAGACCAGCCTGATGAACATGGAGAAACCCTGTCTCTACTAAAAATACACACACACAAAAAAATTAGCTGGGCATCATGGTGCATACCTGTAATCCCAGCTACTTGGGAGGCTGAGGCAGAAGAATCACTTGACCTCAGGAGATGGAGGTTGCGGTGAGCCAAAGTCATGCCATTGCACTCCAGCCTGGGCAACAAGAGTGAAACTCCTCAAAAAAAAAAAAAAAAAAAAAAAAAAAAAAGGCAAAAAGAGAAGTAAAAGACATCCAGATTGGAAAGGAAGAAACAAAACTGTCTTTTTTACAACTACATGATTGTTTACATAGGAAATGCCAAGCTATCTACAAAAAAGTTACAAGTATTAATATGTACACTTAGAAAGGTCCCAGGATACAAGATCAATATACAAAAATCAATGGCATTTCTATAAGATAGTACTGGCCAATGGGAAATTGAAATTAAACAAAACACCATTTATAGTATCTTATAAGAACATAAAATGCAGATATGAATTAAAATGTGAAAGACTTATGCATTCAAAACTACAAAACATTGAGATAAAATTTAAGAAGATCTAAATAGAGATACATGCTATTCATTAATTGGAAGACTCAATATTGTCAGTATATCAATGATCCACAGATTCAGTGTAATCCCATACAAAAATCCCTGCGGGCTTTTGTGTACAAATTCACAAGCTGATTCTAAGATTTATATAAAAATTCCAAGGACCTAGAATGGGCAAAACATTAGGAAAGGAAGAGCAAAGTTGGAAAATTCATACTTCCTGATTTGAACACTTAACATTAGGCTACAGTAATTAAACAGTGTATTACTGACGTATAGACAGACGCATCTGTGTTCAACTGTTTGGTTTTTTTTGAGACAGGGTCTTGCTGTACCCCAGGCTGGAGTGGCAGTGGCGTGATCACGGCTCACTGCAGCCTCGTCCTCTCGTGCTCAAGCAATCCTCCCACCTCAACCTCCCAAGTAGTGGGGACTACAAGTGCATACCATCATGCTTGGCAAATTTTAAAAATATTTTGTAGAGACGGGGGCTCACTATGTTGCCTAGGCTAGTCTCAAGCTCCCAGGCTCAACTGATCCTCCCACCTCAGCCTCCCAAAGTGCTCGGATTACAAATGTGAGTCATTGTGCCTGGCCATTCAAAGGTTATCAGCAACAATGGCAAAGTAAGTCAACAACAACAACAACAACAAAACAGTGTTTTCAAAAATGCTGCTGGAAAAATTGGATATACATATGCAAAAAAAACCCCTGACCCTCACCTCATGTCAGATTTACAAACTTAACTCATTCTTTGTCATAGGTCTAAATTTAAGAGCTAAAATTATAAATCTTCTGAAAGAAGACATAGGAGAAAATCTCCATTGCTCTGAGTCAGAGATTTGTTAGATAGGATACAAAAAGCATGAACCATAAAAGAACTTGATAAACTGGGCCTTATCAAAATTAAAAACGTCTACTCTACACAGCACAGTTGAGAAAAAAAGAAGCCATAACCTGGGAGTACATAGTTAAAGGACTTGCATCAAGAATATACAAAGAACCAGCCGGACGCAGTGGCTCACGCCTGTAATCCCAGTACTCCGGGAGGCTGAGGAGGGTGGATCACCTGAGGTCAGGAGTTTGAGACCAGCCTGGCCAACATGGTGAAACCTCGTCTCTACTAAAAATACAAAAATTAGCTGGGCATGGTGGCGTGTGCCTGTAACCCCAGCTACTCAGGAGGCTGAGGCAGGAGACTTGCTTGGAACCCAGGAGGCGAGGTTGCAGTGAGCCAAGATTGCACCACTGTACTCCAGTCTGGGAAACAGAGCGAGACTCCATCTCAAAAAAATATATAAAGAACCTTACAATTTAATAGCAAAGAAAAATGGCAAAAGATTACAACAAATACTTCCATAAAGAAGATATAAAGAAGATATAAAGATGGCAAATAAGGGCTCAACAATATTCATCATTAGAGAAATGCAAAATTAAATCACAATGAGATCCTCCTACATACCTACTAGAAAAAAAGGACTAACACTAACAACACCAAGTGCTTGCAAGGATGAGAAACACATGGAGCTCGCGTACATTGCTAGTGGAAAAAAAAAGTGCTATAGCCACATTGGAAAACAGTTTAGCAGTGTTTGATGAAGTATTCCGCCCTGGGAATAATGTTCTCTCAAGTTTATTTTTGAATAAATAAAGAGGTAATATAAAAAACAAGAGTTGAGTGGGAGGAAGGTACTGAAAAGAGGAGGACTCTGAAAATAGGTGGTATCAAGTCAGATTTGTAAGAGTCTGAGAAGGAATACGAAGAGAAAATAGAAAACAGTGTGAGGTTTAAAGTGTTTACCACAAAATAAGAGCAGGCAAGAAGATGGTGGGTACCAGGCTGGGTAGAGTAAAGGTCACTAGCAAAGCTTTGTTGCCTATACCAACTCCAAAAAATAATGTATGATAATTTCCTTGAGTCTAAAAAATAAAAGACTCCAACTTTCAGCCTGAAAGGGCCCACAGTATGCCCAGTAAAGAGGAAATGCTGACATTTGCATCTACTCTGGTAAAAATATATAAGCACAAGAAGGGAGAATAAGTCTTAAAAGCTTCCAGAAAGGTGGTGGGAGAGGAATGAGAAGAGGCTTGGCACTTCTCACTAACAAGCCAGGAGGGTGGAAGGTAGAAATGGGATCTCAGAACAAGAGTGGCCACAATCTATGGGAACGCCAAGCAAAGAATGCAGAGACTGTAACCAGTGGCCAGGCAGAGGCCTCATTTGGACATGACAACAGTTCCGCTCATCAGAGCCTAGGCATGTCCACAAGTCCGGGGCTCTCAGAAGAGCTCCTGAGCTCATCCCAGAGGCCAAGCTGTCACCAACCAACCTGGTCCCTTTCCCCGGCCTGACTCACCTGGCCTGTCCTCACCTGCACAGGTCCGTACCGGGGTCCCTCCATCTGCCATCCAGGACTCTTCTCCTGGTCCCAACCTGAAGATCACATCTGGCTTCGCAACTAGATACCCTGTTCAGGGGACATGACATAGGACTTCGTTATTAACGCTGAGGAATTCCAGAACCTAGGCCCACCCCTGCAGGCTGAAGGTGGCAGGGCCTCGGGGATGGCCCCAAGCACACAGCCATCTGCCCCTCAGTACAGAACATTCACATAGCAAGCAAGGGCACCAACATGCTCTCCAGAGTCCAATGGGGACTACAAATACTGCACAGTTGGCTGTAACCCACACTGAGGGTGGTAACCCACACTCGTTGTTCCCAGGCCCCGGAGCTTGGAGCAGCTGAGAAAGAAACACAGTACTGGGGGCATTCTGCATCACCCCGTGGCGCGGTCCCTCACCCACGGACACCAGGTGGCTGTAGTTCTCAAGCATGACATCCCTGTAGAGGTTCTTCTGGGCAGAGTCCAGTTGCTGCCACTCCTCCAGGGTGAAGTCCACAAACACGTCCTTGAAGGTCAATGATTCCTGTAATGGCACATTCCTCTTTGGCATGCCAGGACCAGCCTGGGGCACCGGGACGTGGCACCTCACGCACATGGAGGGCTTACTCTGTGCCCTCTAGGAGAAACTTGACAGATGAAGAGTGTGAGGCGCACAGAGCCTAAGTAACTAGCCCAGGTCACACAGCCAGGAATGAGGGAGTCGAATCCATGCGGTCTGGCTCCCGCATCCACACTGGCCTTTGCTTTTTTTTTTTTTTTTTGAGACTGAGTCTTGCTCTGTCACCCAGGCTGGAGTGCAGTGGCGTAATCTCGGCTCACTGCAACCTCTGCCTCCCGGGTTCAAGCAGTTCTCCTGCCTCAGCCTCCAGAGTTGCTGGGACTACAGGAGCCCACCACCATGCCCGGCTAATTTTTGCATTTTTAGTACAGACGGGGTTTCACCATGTTGGCCAGGCTGGTCTCGAACCCCTGACCTCGTGATCTGCCCACCTTGGCCTCCCAAAGTGCTGGGATTACAGGCGTGAGCCATCGTGCCCGGCCTGGCCTTTCTTATATAATTGTTCTTATGCCAGTCACTAGTCAGTTTGGCATAGTATATTACATAGAGTATCTATATGACTAAAATCATTTTGAACTTTATAAGAGAAACAGATAGGCTATGAGAAATATCTCACCCTGGAAATTCATTCATTCAACACATGTTTACTGAATAGAGGCCAGACTGGTAAGTCCTGTGAAGTAAAGACTGATACAAAACCACACCTCTTGAACTCAAGGAGCTTCAGTTTAGTGGAGGGAGAAAAGCGACACTTAGACACTCATAGATGAAACCGAGGCAGCGAGGAAGCCTGCCTCACAGGGACAGTGACAGATGTAGGACAGGGTCCGGGTGGTCCACAAAGGAGGAAGTCAGTCCTGCCTGGGGCTGACAGAGCAGGCTTTGCAGGGGACACAGAGCTACAACGAACAGTTCTAAACATAGCTAATCATCCATGACAAACCGTTCTAACCTTCGCTCATCAATCATGAAATAAAGAACAGGAAGCCAGAGGTCTGTGGCCTGAGCAGCTGACTGAGGCAAAAGGGGAAAGGTCTGTGCTTGGCCTTGTCACCACCAAACAAGAACTCACTTCTACAAGGGCCCCAATTCCTCACAAAGACTAATAACCCACCTGTTTCTGCTCCAGATCCCATCCTGTCACACCCACACTTGCTGGCCTTCAATTCAAGCCACTCGTTGCACCCGTAAGGCCCAAATCAGCCACAGTGGCACTAGTTTACCCAGCTGTGCAGGAGAGGGGACAGGAAAGCCAGCCTGCCAGAGGGCGGTGACAGGCAGGTTTCTCCAGCAGGAGGGCTTCTCAGAGCAATCCAGGAGCTGGTAGCCCAAACTGCCCCTCCCTCGTGAGAGCTCCGCTGCCAGGGAACAAAACCACACTGCTGAGTGCTAGGATGAAACAAATGTTGCTTGGAAGCTCTAACCTGTTCCATAGACCAATATCTCTTGTAATGGTCCCAGTGGCATGGCTTCCAGGGTCCCAGCAAAAGATGTGCCCAGTTACATATCACTGAGTGACAATGTGCTCAGAAAACCCCAATCCATGGCTTCCTACCAGCCAGTCATAGTTTACTTAGTCCTCCAGTCCAGATGCAGTTTGTTTACCAATCCAGAGTCATTTTTATCTGGAGTAATGTCACCTGGTTTGATATTGTGAAATATATATTTGGTTTTTGTCCTGTCTCCTGGCAAAAGCTCCTGCAACCCTTGGAATAGACTCTGAAGTGATCAAAGCGTCTTTTATATGCTAATGAGATGACTGGTGCCTGGCTGCCCCTAGGTAGCTTCCAGATGGGAGCTGGTCACCAGAAAACCAGACAGGATTAGAGGGTTGGGAATTTCATCTCCATCCTCAAAACTCCTGGGAGGGCAGAGAAGATGAAGGCTGAGTTGACTACCAAGGGCCAGTGATGATCATGCCTCTGTGATGAAGCCTCCATAAAAACCCCACTGTGGCTGGGTGTGGTGGCTGGCTCCTGTGATCCCAGCACTATGGGTGGCTGAGGGAGGATCACTTGAGGCCAGGAGGTTGGGCCTGCAGTGAGCCAAGATTGCACCACTGTTCTCCAGCCTGGTGGACAGAGCAAGACCTTGTTTGTCAATTAAACTCTTTATTGCAAGTCCGTGGTCTCAGTGAATTGGTTTTGACTGTGCAGTGGGTGGGAATAACCCATTGGCTGGTTACAGTAAAAATATCTTAAATCAGCCAGGCACAGTGGCTCACACATGTAATCCCAGCACTTTGGGAGTCTGAGGCGGTCGTATCGCTTGAGGTCAGGAGTTCGAGACCAGCCTGGTCAACATGGTGAAACCCTGTCTCTTACTAAAAATACAAAAATTAGCCAGGTGTGGTGGTACACGCCTGTAATCCCAGCTACTCGGGAGGCTGAGGCAGGAGAATCACCTATAATCCCAGCTACTCAGGAGGCTGAGGCAAGAGAATCACTTGTACCCGGGAGGCAGAGGTTGCAGTAAGCCGAGATCACGCCACTGTACTCCAGCCCTCCAGTCTGGGTGATAGAGCTAGACTCTGTCTCAAAAAATATATATATATATATGTATATATAAAAATATATGTGTGTGTGTGTGTGTGTATATATATATATGTATCTATAATCTATGCAGAAAAGATGACATTAGGAAAATCTGGTGGATTAGTCCATTCTCATGCTGCTAATAAAGACATACCTGAGACTGGCTAATTTATAAAGGAAAGTGGTTTAACTGACTCAGTTCAGCATGGCTGAGGAGGCCTCAGAAAACTTACAATCATGGCGGAAGGCGAAGGGGAAGTAAGACACCTTCTTTACAAGGCGGCAGGAAGGAGATGTGCAAGCAGGGGAAATGCCAGAAGCTTATAAAACCATCAGATCTCATGAGACTCACTTATTATCACGAGAACAGCATGGGGGGAACTGCCCCCATGACACATTACCTTCATCTGGTCCCGCCCTTGACACGTGGGGATTACAATTCAAGATGAGATTTTGGGTGGCGACATAGCCAAACCATATCTTCTGGCTAGGTATTTATGGAGGAAAAAATCTCAATAAAACTGAATTACCCATCTCACTCTGAACCCACAAATAAATTACACAGGGATGAGAGATTTAAAAAAAAAAAAAAAACTAGGACTCCCTCTGTCATCCGGGCCGGAGTGCAGTGGCACGATTATGGCTCACTGCAGCCTCAAGCTCCCGGGCTCAAGCAATCCTCCCGGACTCAAGTGATCCTCCTGCCTCAGCCCCGCAAAGTATTTGGGACTCCAGGTACAGGCCACCTCACCCAGCTAATTTTTGTATTTTCTGTAGAAACGAGGTTTCATCATGTTGCCAGGCTGGTCTCAAACTTCTGAGCTCAAGTGATCCACCCGTGTCAGCCTCCCAAAGTGCTGGAATTACTAGTGTAAGCCACCGCACCCAGCCTTAGAGATTTAAATGTGTACAAGATAACCGTAAAATAGATCAAAGTTTTTATAATTTTGTAGTGGCTAAAAGCCTTTAAAAAAAAAAAAAGTCTCACTCTGTTGCCCAGGCTGGAGTGCAGTGGTGTGATCTCAGCTCACTGCAACCTCTGCCTCCCAGGTTCGAGTGATTCTCCCCCTCAGCCTCCCAAGTAGCTAGGACTACAGGTACCCACCACCACACCCAACTAATTTTTGTATTTTTAGTAGAGATGGGGTTTCACCATGTTGGCCAGGCTGGTCTCAAACTCCTGACCTCAAGTGATCCACCCGCCTCGGCATCCCAAAGTGCTAGGATTATAGGCATGAGCCACTGCTCCCAGCTGGCTAACAGCCTTTCTGAGCAATCCCCAAATTCAGAAGACATACAATCACAGACTGATCAACATGACTGCCTAGACATTAGAAATTTCTAAATAGCAGAATGAATTTTTTGTTTGTTTGTTTTTGGAAACAGGGTCTCACTCTTGTTGCCCAGGCTGGAATGCAGTTCACAGATCACTGCAGCCTCAACCTCCTGGGCTCAAGCAATCCTCCCACCTCAGCTTCCCTAGTAGCTGGAACTATAGGCACGCACCACCACACCCAGCTAATTTTTGTATTTTTTTGTAGAGACAAGGTTTTGCCATGTATCCCAGGCTGGTCTCAAACTCCCAAGCTTAAGCAATCCTCCTGCCTCAGCCTTCCAAGTGGTGGGATTACAGGCATGAGCCACAGCACTTGGCCAAAAATTATAATATTATGAAACATCAATATCAAAGTGAGAAAAGTATTTGAAATATACAAAACAATGGGCTAATCTCCTTTATACACTAAAATTCTAACAAATCATTATGAAAAAGACCACAACCTAACATACAACTGAACAAATATAAAATAAATATACAACTTATCATGTATTCCTTTCATATTCTTAAATGCTGAAAAGGTTGATAATACTTAGTACAGTCAAGTATGTGGAAAAAACACCAAAGAAGTTATAAACTATTTACAGCATTTTGGGGAGGAACAATTGGTTAATATATATCAAATTTTACATTGCAAATACCGTTTAACAAAGCAATGACCTTTCTAGGATTTTACCCTACACCTTTAACACATCAATAAGAAAAGATAGCCCAACAGTATGAATAAAATACTCATAGCAACAGAAATGTTAGAGGCCTAGAAACACAAAAAGATTATAAACCTCACTAAAATTCACATATATGCTCATTAAACAATAAGATACTGTCTTTTATCCATAAGAGTCACTGCTGATGAAGAATATTAGAAATTAAATACTCTCATATAAAGGATGATTGATACATAATTTGACTGTACCTATTACAGGTATTTGTTTCTTACTTTAACCAGCAGTTGCATTTACAGGACCCTATCCTAGTGAAATATTTATGTGTACTTAAAGATGTCCAAGGCAGTCCTATTCATATTAGCAAAAAGTAGAAGAAAGCCCTAAAAGGCCTGGCACACTGGCTCACGCCTGTAATCTCAGCACTTC